TCGTTCTGCGTCTTCTGCACATCTGATTATGAGTTGACACTTTTTTAAAGGCATATAAATCCAAACAAACGGTGTCGTGTTAGTACACAAACTAGAAGACTAGGGTCTTTTCTCTTAAGATACAGTAGACAGTTTCTTTCAAATTCACAGTATGCCGCAGCTCACTTGCACCTTTCGGAACAATATGCATACACGTGCGCCGATTCAGTCTTTCTCATTCCCGCCATCAGCTTTCGGCCTCAGTAGTCGCTCTGGTTTTCGTTTCCGTGTACAGACCTGATCAGGTTATACTATTTATTATCATCGCAAGGCAAGGCAAGAGAGAAAAAATTGCGACAAATGGTTATTGTGCTCAATAAGAAGGAGAGGAAGTGGGTATTATGTTCCGAAGTCTGAACGGAGACGATTATCGCTCACTAAATTGTGTTAACCCATAACGTATATTAAGGGAACAATCGCATAATAACTATATGTATGCTCAGAAACCGATCAGAGTTTCATCTAGAGGGAGTTATTAATCTCTCAAATTGCCATTTACTGCTTGGTTGTATATACTTTTGATGAACCACAGAAATACTCTGCAGCTTATCGTTTCACCAGAATGTCAGCTCATCGTTGCCATTTAACCACTTTTCATCCAGTATCCAACTCAGCCTAATCTTGTTATGCCTTCCTTACTGGTTAAAAATTTGCTATTGTCTACAAGCTTTCAAGCGTAATCTCATTCATTCCGGACCACAGCGCGATTTATATGCGGACTTTGTCGGGGTTTTCTATCGAGATTTCCTAGTTCAACAAGAGCAGAGGAACCCTTTGAAAGTTGTGCCACATCGCCACATATTGTCGGTCTTGATCGTGCTATCAGCCTCTTAGTCAAGGCACTATATCATGTATGATGGAAGTATCAAGAATTTCGGCCCCAAAAGGAATCAATAACGAGTGGCTCAAATTGTTTTGAATAATCTTGAAAATCCGAACCAGTATGTAGAACAACAGCAAACGGTTGGTGAAACTTTTTCAGGAAACTTCCAAAAAGTCACTACCTTTCGAGGAGAAGCTCGGCCAAACACTAACATATGTGTAAGCGCCAATCTATTATTATTATTATTATAAGGCCGAAGAAGAGACGTAATCTATACAAGTCTTCCTATTTGAATGACATACACTTCAAAAATGCTACCGGTATTTTGTGGTTAAGCAGCTCAAAAGTCAGACAAACAGCTTGGAGATTTGATTCAAAAACCATTGAAATAACCTCTCCTTGGCGGCACGAATGAATCTTGCCTAAATTAGAGATTTGATATGCCGAACAGTTCCTACTTTTATATTCCACTAAAATAGTAGTCATAAATACCAGATTGGGTACGAATTTGATCGAGTGCGATGAACCTTTTTTATTTATTTTCAAACATTGTGTTCCCAAGTAAGAGAGAAACCAGCACAATCGTAAAACTTACCTCCATATTTATCAAATATTTTTAGTTTTCCACCGGCCGTTCGACAATTTGGATAATTTTCGGATACAAACTGGGTGTGTGCCGACAAAATCGTTCCATATTTATCAGTGTATTACTGGCAAAAAACATGTTTCGTTTTACATCCCAAAGGAGGGGCAGAAAAAAAAACACTGGAAATAAAGTCAAACAAACGGAAGCTATGATGCGATTGCGACATGATGATACTGATAAGGCACTTTAAATAAACAAATTAATTAACGATGCGATTCTCAGTAAGGTGTAAAGGAATGAGTAAATATGTATGTGTGCATACAGGTACACTGAGATATAAGGGTATGGCCGGCGAAAGGTTAAAAACCGAAGGGAATTGTCTTCTTAACTGTCATTGAGTAATGTGCTGCCAAACAGGGAGCACAACTGGACTGTGGCTGTGGTAGTTTCAGACAAACGCGATAAGTACTACAGATATCAGCGGCAAAATTAGTATTATTTTTGTACCATAGCTCCGACCAAATTTCGGTGAAAATAGGTTAACTTTAAGCAATAACAGACATAAGCAAGCCACCCATACACCAAGAAACATGAATACCTTTATGATTTTCGCCACAGGTGAGTGGACAATGCTACAGTTTACTTAACTTCAAGGAAAAATATAATCACTTTTTAAATTATCTTACAGCATTCATCTGTGTCCAGATACAATATTTAGTAGCCGCATCGTCTGAATCTAGTGAAGAGGAATATCGCGTCATTTTACCTGGTGAAATACGTCTATTAGGACTAGCTGGTGTAGGAGTAGTTAGTCAGCCTGCTTTACAAGCGGTTAAAGTAAAAGTGCCACGCTATGCAAAGCCTTTAACCAAACAATTGCTGATCTCCCAAGCATTGTCAGCGCGTGGAATAGGCAGTGAAACGCAAAAGAAAGTCTTGTTGGTACGCGATAGACGTCAAGTTTCAAGTGCAGTCAATGAGGTAATTTCTGGGCCTACGACTACAGCGAGCGATCGTTTATCCAGCACAGTCACCCAAGTGCCAGCAGTTGGAGGTGCCACAAAAGCACCCGTTGCAGCTGGTGTTCCTGTTGTCAGCAAGCCAAATTAGTGCTTGATATATTAGAGTAAATACTTTTGGTTTGGAAATTGGTTTTATAAACCTCTAAAAAATAAGTTTGTGACTTTTTAGAAGACTAATCTCTTTTGATTTTGCAATTTCATAAATTTTTGTTTTAATCTTAGAAACCAAAATGACGCATGTATGTATGTTTTAAATTTTTTTTAATAAATATGTATTTTTATTACAATTTGGAATTTTACCTAGACTTAAGCAGAGGAAAACTTTGCTATTATCAAAGTCCTGAATTTAAAATAATTTCAGTTTTCACCTCAATGCTACTGTGGAGTTCCACGTCAGACCGATGACGGGGTTCTGGAGCTGTGAATCAAGTGCCGCCCCTTTCCTGGTGAAAATATCTGTCACTTCTTTGTCCATTATTCGGCCATGTCTTGGTGCCAAATTGAGGAGAGTCCGATTCCTGGAGTATTAAGACAAAACGACACCAGACTTAAGGTGACATCTTGTGCTTACAAGGCGAGGAGTGCCGCCCTTGGGGCGGAATGTAATTTGATGTGTGCCTCAGCATGAAAGACAGAGTTAGCGAGCTCCGTGGCAGTTTATGCCTGATGTCAAAAAAAAAAAATGGAAAATCTGATGACATAGAAGCCAGAGTAGTTCGTTCTAAGAAAAATGTCTCTTCTACTGCCTTTCGATAACCATTTCCATAGCCTTTACTAGAAAGGTTATCCTTATGATTTTCCCCGATGAACGTGACCTTCTCTTCCTGTTATTACAGGGGTAAGAATCGGTACGCATGGTGTGCCCTGAAAAGCTGTATCAGAGTGTGCAGTAGATGGGAATACCGGTGTGAAGATGAGCTGCAAATGTCTTTCAACTGACCACAGTCCTTCGAAAGACAACAGTCCTTCGTAAGAAAATTGTCAATTCTGGCAACAACCTTGAAAGCTCTTTTCTTTTGTATTTTGGCAATAAGTTTCCAAAAAAAATGAAATGAAATTACAATAAAAACTAAAAATTAAAAGCAAATTAAAAAAAAAATAAATAAGTTTCTAAAATAAAATTAAAATATGTTTCCTTTTAAAGCAATACAATTTAAAATTTGAATTAACGAACATAAAATAAAAAATTATAAATAAAAATTATAAATTAAATAAAACTATAAATATTTTCCTTTTTAAAATAATATAATCTAAACAAAAAAAAAATAACAAATAAAAAAGTTAGTTAATTAAAAACAGAAAAGAAATGTTTTTAAAATTAAAAGAACTCAAAAAATATTTTTCTTTTTAAAACAAGAAAATCTGAAAGGTTAAATAAAAAGAAAAGTAATAGAAGTAAAAAAATATATGTTTCTAAAAATGAAACAAAAAGGGAAGGAAATTAAAACAATAAAAACTAAAAATTAAAAGAAAATTAAATAAACACTAGTAAAAAATGATAAAATAATGTTATAAAATAATATGAAATTAAACAAAAAAAGCTAATTTTTTAAATAATAATATCAAATATTAATATAAAAAATTAAAAAAAAAAACTAAATACAGGATAGAATAAGCTCCTAAAAATTAAATGAATTTGAAAAAAAACAATTTTCCTTTCAAAACAATAAAATATAAAAACTAATGGAAAATAAAAACTATTGTATTACAAAAAAAGTCTTTTAAAATAAATTAAATTGGAAAGAAACTTTTCTGTTTGAAGCAATAAAATAGAAAAATAATTTATATAAAAAAAAATTTAATTAAGAAAAAAAAATTGCGCTGCCCGAGGACTCGAACTCGGATCACTCGAATCGCACGCTAGTGCTTTGCACACTCATTCATTACGAGTATTAGGCTTGGTCGAACTTCTGTGTGTTGGGCTTTGCGATACTGTCGAGCCAGCCTGAATAGTAAATGGCTTTTATGAAAGATATTTTTTTTTCCTACAAATTATGTAAAGACCAAAACCTGGAAGATTAGCACATAAATAAGTACAACAAAAGAAAATTGAATAACTAACGGCGGACGCCAGGCAAACATCAATTTTTCAACGTCGAATAAATAAAGGAATACCAGAACAAAGCGTATCCAGGTCCATAATGAAAATTTAAAAGGCACGCACAAAAACGTATATGTATACGTATGCATGTATGTATGCACCTAATTAAAAAAATTTGAATCGATACCTCGATAAGGGGATTGAACACCTGGGAATAAAAGTCTGACTAATTGGGGCGTACTGCTTATGACGTTACAATGAGGCCTGCATGTATGTTCTCGTATATGCATACATATGTAAGAATTTATTTTTATGTATAAATATAAACGTGTATGCAGATATGTGCGTACGAAGGGGCTAAAAATGTACATGCATACGTAAGCCACAGAATACGTTAAATATAAATTTGTTTGGCTAAATCCGCTACATGACTCAGTGTATTTTAAATTCAAACAATATAAAGCCAGGAAATTGAATTAAAGCAAACACTTGAGAACGAAACGCAGCGAGGAAAGGAACATGAATTCGCTGGTGATACTTGCCACAGGTAAGTGCGACACAAAATGGATATATGTGTATATAAGCAGTTTTAAGTAAACACAACTAACTTTCCGATTACTGTCTTTTCTCGCCTTCCCAGGGCTGCTTTGTTTTCTAGCAGTTAGAGTGCCGTACGTAGCAGGCGACTCCAGTGAGGAGGAGTACCACGTACTGTTACCGCCTAGTGATAAAGGACTACTGAGTCTTATTGGCATCAGCAGTCAGCCCGTTATACAAGCAGTCAAAGTGAAAGTGCCACGTTATGCAGATCCTGCGCTGAAACAGCAAATCATCGAACAATACCTAGATGCACGTGGACTGACCCCAAAAGTTTTAGCTGCCGCACATAATGCAGCTCCAGCGACAAATACAGGAGATGACGATTTTAATTCGCGTCTGGAAATGTTTTACAATTTGGGATTAGGCACACAGCTACCATCTCCAAATTTAGACATAAATATTGGCGCACAGAATGCAGCTTCAACGTCGAATACAGGAGCTGATGGTTTGAATTCGCGCCTAGAAAGCTCTTACACTTTAGAATTAACAACGCAGCCACCAACTTCAACGCCGCCACCGACTGTAGTCATAAAATCTATAGCGGAACCGTTTACCAACTTAGATGATGAGCCATCGACTTCAACGCCGCCACCGACTGTAGTCATAAAATCTATAGCGGAACCGTCTACCAACTTAGATGATGAGCCATCGACTTCAACGCCGCCACCGACTGTAGTCATAAAATCTATAGCGGAACCGTCTACCAACTTAGATGATGAGCCATCGACTTCAACGCCGCCACCGACTGTAGTCATAAAGTCTATCGCGGAACCTTCTACCAACTTAGCTGATGAGCCATCAACTTCAACGCCGCCTCCAACTATAGTCATAAAGTCTATCGCGGAACCTTCGACCAACTTAGATGATGAGCCATCCACTTCAACGCCGCCACCGACTGTAGTCATAAAGTCTATCGCGGAACCTTCGACCAACTTAGATGATGAGCCATCCACTTCAACGCCGCCACCGACTGTAGTCATAAAGTCTATCGCGGAACCTTCGACCAACTTAGATGATGAGCCATCAACTTCAACGCCGCCTCCAATTATAGTCATAAAGTCTATCGTGGAACCATCTACCAACTTAGTAGATGAGCCACTCGTGACATATGACATCGTGTCAGCGCGCAAGCGACGTCAATTGTTGGAGATAAGCACTACCACATCACCCATCGAAAGCACAACAGTACCTGATGTAATCGAAACAAGTACAATGACTGACGGCCAACAAGCCGTGGAGGGAATTACAGTAATGCTGGACCTAAGCCCGCCGGTAAGCAGCACTGAGTCACCGATATCAACAACCGTTACCACTACCCAACTCGAACCCTTCATTCCACTCATTGGTTTCGACGTCTCCATACTACCAGCCTCTGTGTCACACGTACTTTATGCGCCACGCATTCCAATCGACTCAACAACAACTACCACTTCAACTGACGTGCCGATAGTTTTGGCGGAGCAAGTCGTTGCAGTTACCACACCACATTTCCCGGCTCAGAGTCGACGCATCGCTCGCGCGGTATCTTTCAATGTTATGGACCAGAGGAAAATGACAAAAGCCACACCTGTCCCGCCATTGCCTCAAACAGATGTACGCAGTACGAAAATGTCCCATTTGCCACGTAGCTCGCGTAAGTTACGCGCTGTGGATGAGGCTGCTGTTGCAGCTCCACTCGCAGAGAAGGAGGGCAGCACTGTCGTTGCGGAGCAAGAGGTGACAACGCAGGCCAACAATTGCGATATTGGGTGCACGAAATTCGATTTTAATCCTGTTTGCGCTTTCAATGGCGAGTGTTATCACCAATTTCCCAATCAATGTATTATGGATACATTCGTGTGCAAGCGTCCTGATTTGGGCTTCAAATCAACACCGCGCCAACGTTGTGCAATGCATTGGCTGAAGCGTTGTAAGGCAGAGGAGCTGAAGAGCGAATAGTGGTTAGTTAGGGATAAGAAGTAAATCTCTTCCTTATTTGTTTTAATAATTTTATCATATAAGCATTAAAAAGTTGTTTTACAAACGAAAATTTACAAATAAAATTATGTAAAATATTTTACTTGAACTTTAATTTAATGAAATTAATAAGAATTTAATAACCGCATATTTGACTCTGAGAGTCTTTTTATTAATAATAATGAATAAGAATCAGTTTGGTTCTTTGTCTAGTTAGATGTACTTAACAACAACAAGTTCAACAACGTTCAGACTAGTTCGTGATTAACTAGATTTAGGCTGTTATCGTTCCTTGAATCTGCTATGATCCCAAGCAACGAGCTTTACGTACGCTTATAACCAGCCAGCATCTCCACGTGATGAGGGCGACTGTGAGTTGTATTGCTTCCCTTATAGCACTCATTTTGCCAAGTTGGGTTAACTCGCTTTTACTGATGCCTAGGTATCTTGTCTCTTGTCATCTGTGTCGGCTATGCGTTAAGGTAATTTTCAGTACGGTTATTGGGACTTCCTCCAGCTCTTATGGAGGTCGAAATCCAGAATTATAGATGGTCAGATGAGGATAAGTACGTCGAACTTGGTGGGTGCCTACTAGGGATGTTAATGCCGAGATCCTGGGTTCGTAGAAAGGGAAATTATTAACATCCCTAGCTGGTGAAGTATTTAAATTGCAGGAGGTCGGCAAGCTGGACCTGTGTCCATCTGTAGCAATCACAAGATACTCTTCGCTGGGAAGTGGGCTTCTAAACGAGAGTGCACGGTGATCGGTATTTGTGTCGCAAGCCTCCCGGTACGTTTTGTGAAAGGAGCCTGCTTCAAGCTTTCGTTGTGGTCTTTTTCGGCCATAAGAGAGTTGATTATTTCAAGTTGAGTCACACATTTTTACTTCTATCTACCTTTTTGGAGAGGAGCACGAGGAGCGGAGAAATAGGGTAGTCCGGCCAGGCAGAGCGTAGCAATAAGCGGGTAGGTCGTTCAATTTATTAGGCGATTCCGAGCCATACCTTAGGTTTGCGGCACTGGTTGTTACTCTCATTGAAGCACAGTGACACAATTGGACAGATAGTGATCTTACATTCCTGTCTCCAAGATATCTACATATATAAGATCACTATTGGGGAGAGTGACATGCTCAAATGCACAACATACGTTTATTAATTGAATATCCATGGACGTCGTTCTTCACGAAGTTGTGTGTCTCCTAAAAAAATCACTCCACTTCAAGCAATGTAATGTAGCTGCCTTTCTGGACATAGAATGCACTTTTAATAAGATCAAGGTCACCTGGGAACCTGGGTATTAGCGTTGAAGGGCTTTTTCAGTTGCAAACATCTTCCAAGCGGTTGGTTTGCGCATCTTTGAAGCTTACGAGGTTCTAGGAAAAGTCATCGGTAGAATAAAGGAAGCAACAATAAAGCGGCTCTGTCAGCATTAGCATCACCGGTAACTAAATTCCAGCTTGTCGAGAGGTGCAAAGCAGAATAATGCTTAGTGTCTGCATCAATTAGCATCTCTATTGTCTGGGTTCCCGGCCATATCAGCATTGAAGGTAATGAGATGACCGACGAATTTACGAAGACAGGAGCCTACTTTTTAGGAATCCGAAGCTTTTGCACTTGGACTACCCCTCGGAGAAATCAGTTTGATTTTTTTTTTTTTACTGTCAAGGAAAAGGTGGTCGGATATACAGACTTGCAAATAGTCCAGACACAGGTTAAGGATAAGGACAGATGTATTTAGAATTGTGGCAATCATTTTTGGTCACTGGCCGATGGGCAAACATGCAGAGAGAATGGGGCTCCCATATAACAGAACTTGCCGCAGCTGTCGACTAGAAGGTGGCGGAAGACGTAACTGCAGTGACGGACTTAAATCTAAGGTAACTAATGAGATTCATCCGATACTATAAGCGGTTCATTGAGGGGGAGTGAAACTTCGCCTATCATGTTATCACAACGGGCCTTCAGGTTTGGGCCTAAATACCCTGCCTCTTTATAATAGCCGCCACACCCACATAGCTTCTCCTACCAAATGAAAACTTCATACAAGATGATAAGAAAATGTTTTGGCTTTTATTGTATAAAATTAATATAAAACAAACAAAAATCTAATGTATCGAAGAATTTTTTTGTAATACTAATTTGGAAACCTAAAAAATAATTTAAGCCAAACTTATTTACTAACCGATAATGATTGGTTTAAAATAGTAATTTGTGGTATTTGTTTGCTTTCACAAAAGCAATACACAGGCGAGAAGATCTTGGAAAACACTAGATATCTGCATATATTTTTTTTTTAATAATTTTTTATATAGCCAAGATTTTTTCTATCTTTCCTTTAACCTGCAGAGCACTAATTTGGCACATTGACCCTTAGCAGTCATTCAAAACATTTACTCTGCCACAAATGGAACCAATAGTTTATTCAAACACACGCGATGTTAAATCCAACAATTGCGCCGCCTCTATCTGCTCTCACTCCTCATTTCGCTGACAATTAATGCAACGTCCGCTAGTGGGGCTGCCACGCTGCTCACTACTCTGCTCGTCGTCATACAAAAAATCATTATGGTAATACTTTTGATAACGTTGCTTTTGGCTGTCTTCCTGATTCTGATGTTGGTTGCTGATAAGAGCCCAGCTGGTCATTTTGGTAACGGTAACATGGAAGAGCGCTGAAAATTCAATTTAATTGCAAATAAAAAATATATGTAATTTCATAAGTAAAATCTTAAAAATACTTAGGCAGAGAAAGGCGGTGAAGTATTTCATTATTTTCGATTGCTTGATTTAGTCATTGACTATGGCCTCCTTTAAAATTCGTTGTACGCAGTGTGAGCGCTAATGAGGATCTTCAAGCAGTTTACAGCTTTTATATTTCTGTGCTGCCCTTATTTGGCTGCTGTTGTCCCTATGCAAATTAGTTAGGAAAGTTTTCTTGTATTCTTTGTTTTTGATCCTGTTTTCGGCGCTTCTTTATTTTTTATATATGTACATACAAAAGTGCCCAATTTTCAATGGTCATTTCTTTTACGCATTGTTAAAAATTTTGCGTGATTCTTAGCTTGACTTTGTGTTTATTTAAACACTTTCGTGTGTATATAAGTATGTATAACTTGTTTGATATGGGTGCAATGTGGTAATTTTGTCTTCTGACGTGAAACATATCGTCATAATTATCATCGTAAAAGCAGACTTTCTTTTTATTTGTTTGTACATGTGAATGAAAAGCATTTGGACGAACACTCTATTGAAAAAGTAACACTAATACTTGCATTAAAAATTTTTGACTCTAACAAATATTTTCTTATGCGTTTAAATGTGTGTTGGCGGAGGCTTTTCTCCAATTTGTGGCAAGCGTCTTGCTGTTGTCACACAAACGGAGTGATGCCCAGTTTTAAGTTCGCTGAGCTGACAAACGGCCCAGGTCCGCGAGCAGTCCGCATTAATCAAAGGCATCCCGATTTTCAATTTTGACAATGCCCTTATTGGCTAACTTATCCGAGCGTAGTTTCCTGCTAGAATTGGAGCTAGCCAACATTCGTGCACCGGTCCATAGGCGTCTGGCAGCCGGGTGGGTATAAAGGCCCTTGGTCACGCTGACTTGAAGGGCTTGAAAGAGTTTGTCGCCCATCATTTCATTGAATTGGAAAAAAAGACAAAGTGCCTTCTGGCCGTACGTATGGATGCTGATGCTCGCGTGAGAACACGCTTCGAATTGCCACCCGATGCGGGCCGATCGGAAATTCAAAGCGAGCAATATTCCAGAAGATATATGTAGACAAAGCAGATGAAATTGATTTTAGATGGGCGCTTGGGTAAGAGAAAGGCAAGATAGATGTTGCGGTTGATCACTATAGATTGCAAACATAAGCGTCTCGAAGGACTTTTTGGTGTTGTTTGACTATTAGGGTAGGTTAAGCAAACGTATATGAAGGTATTATATGTCTAATCGCGAGCAAGTTTGTGAATGCCAGCGAGGAGGCCAGGAGGAGGCACTTTCCTCAAACCACTTAAATAGCTCAGACGAAATTGATAAGTTCAGATGGTTTAACTTTCGCTATCTCTAACAAGCTGGGGTAAAATTAAGTTCCCAGTTACTTGAGTCCCCTTTTCTGGAGAGCTGGAAATTTATATACATACATAGGACACGGTTGAATTTTGCACGACAACACTACGGAGACTAAGAAGTTAGGGCCATAGTGAGATTATTCTGGTGAACTTTGGCGTCAAAGGAGGCCAAGATGGGTCTGCTGGCTTACGAGATAGTGCCGGGAGTTACTTAGCATAATACTCACCCTTTTTATCTTGAAAATAAGAAGAACATTATACCGCTACTATAACGCCAACTAATTGGCCCAACTTAAGAACGCTTTTTAGGAAAACTATAGCTTTTAGCCATAAAGAGACGCTCAGAACACCGCACAGGGAGCGAAATGGAGCTACGAATTGCCATCTCATTCGGCATATTCGGAAAACTTAGAGCGCCAATTTATCTTGTTTCTAGTCCTAGAAAAATGGGGCGGCGAAAGGAAGTTAGTTGCAACAATTTAATAATCGCTCAAACGTAGGTTCAGTTCCAGATCCTTGAGAATTTATTTAATTTGGATTGAATCATGAAATTGAAGAGAGGCTGGATGAAATGATGAAATTTTATTCATCAATTCAGGTGCACCAAAATTAAATTATTGATCACATTTTACTTAAAGGCGCCAGCTATTAGTTTTCCATGCAAGCCGTAAACAGAACAAAGAAACCTAAACGAGAAAAAAAAGACTTAAGTGCTTTCGGCGGTACCACAACTAGTTTCCTCTAACTAAGAATTTCTCTTCTGGCGCCTAAAATTATGCTATTTGTTCATATAAAGTTACTGCACTCAAACACACACAGCATTCACAAATTCGTAAAAGATAAAGAAACTAGTGAATAACATTTGCATAAATTAAAAATAAATATAATAAGCTGCACTTATTTTTAATCTTTCTTATTTTTAATCTCCGCTTTTTATGTTTGTATTTTTATTCCACTAACCACTTTACTCAATTTGTTTTCATCACTTTAATTTATGAGTTGTGGTCAATTGAATTGCTATAAATTGGTGATAATTAAAAACAATTGCAGTTCGATATAACTCGTGTTGGATGACTGCATTCGCTTATTTAAAATCTGCATATATACATACTACATATGTACTTCATTTTTAAATGCACAAAGGTTTAATGCGTGGCGGTAAGTTCTTTCTACTCTTAAACTGAAGCTCGATATTCAACATGGGTGGTCATAAATCTGCATACTTCATTTTGCTAAACAAGAAAATGTATACGAATGTATATCAACGATTGCTGAATCAGAATACGAGATCAGGACTGATTTATCCTCCAGTTCACCCCTTGAGAAGATCTTTAATTGGAATTGACCTCACTTGGTTCTTCACCGCAAGGAGTCTACGCCTATACCACATGAAATCGACGGTAGCCATCTTCATTGCCTAAACGAAATAGGTTAGGCAGCAGCAGGGATTTCATGTCGAAGCCCATCAATTCCGACTATGAAAATCATAAGGTTGAACTCCGGTAGCCTGCTCTTTTTCTCATACCCAACCACAATTGCCAATAGGGTACAGAGTCGCAACAAAGTCCTCAAATATCTTGTCCGCAGCACCCGGTGAAAAGAAAAATTAACTTTGTTAGCTACAAAAAAAAAAAGTAACTGGCCAGCCGGTTCTAAACAATTATTCGGCAGCTAGACCTGGGAGCAGTGGACCAGTGAACGAAGTGGTCTAAGCTACAAAAGTGTTCCAACACAGCACTCCGGAGCTTAGAGATGATCTCCTGGTCAGCTGCTACCGACGGGAATAGCAGCACACACATGTTGGAAGTAACATTCTTTATGAACTGAAAGGCGAAAGCCATTGAACCCGATACTGTAGAATTAGATAACTAACGAAGTTCACCAACGACGTTCAACGAACACCTGTTGCTTGAGCTGCATCTGCGGACCTGCGTTACTATGACACAATAACCGACTGTGTATTTAAACCCTACCTCCTTCTTAAACCAAGTCAATTAACACCTCGCTCTCTTTGGTCCTTCCCCATTGAAACAGCACGTTTTTTAGACCAACCGTTAGTTGAGCTTCACGAAAACAGTTGAACGACTAACTAAATAACCTAGGCAGGGCTAAGTGGCAACTACACGAACAACAAGAAGATATGCACTGGGTCAAAGTGAGATTTTAACCTAAATATATTGCGATCTGGTTTGAGTGCAAAACAACACACCTCTGGCTGTTCAGCTGCACTAGTGCAGAAATTTAATTTTCTGGCAACCATTCACAGCTATTATGTTCTTAAACAGAAAGTCGCCTTAGTAGAGTCATTTCGTTTCTTAGACTAGTCCACAACTTTTTCTTTACTAATTGCACACTTTAATTTTTCGACTAACCTCTGTAACTTCCAAAATTCGTCGTGTTTTTCAGGATTAAGTGTATCCCATTAAGGAATCAAAAAAAAAAATCAGGAAAGGAATTTTTTATTTTTTTGTATAGCCAGTGGCAACAGAGGCTCTTACATGTAGTGTTTTGTCCTGAATACATCAGTAGTAGAAGAGGTTTTCGTGCCTCTAGGCTGTATCAATGGCCGTATTTTCCAGCTACACGAAATTACAGGAATTACAGGGACACTATTGTCCCAAGAGCATGTCGATCTCTTAACAGGACCATAAACTTAATCTCCAAAAATATGATTTTAATTGTAAGCTTTGATTCATCGTGGGCTAAATAAAGAAAATGGAATGTCAACGCAAAAAAAAAGAAATAAATTTCAATGTAAAATAAATCTTTTTTTCCTGAAAAGGTTTCACTTATATTTGTGTTTAAAAATAATTAATATTAGTCCTAACATTTTTTTTTTATTCTATACTGAAATATCTAAACCAAAATTAGGCATTTTTATTGTTTCTCTGCAAAAATGCTTTTTTCGCCAAAAAATCATTTGTTGGAAATTCAGAAAGTTTTTTTTTTTTAATTTTGGTAAACATTTATTCTCCATAAATTATTCTTTACAACATTCATTCGAAATGATTTCACCTAAAAAAAATACCAAACAAAATTTGACAAGGGAACACCAACAACCAAAATGTGTTTTATTCTGTCATTTGCTCACACAAACAAAAATTTGTAATAGGTTTTAATTAATTTTAATCAAAGTTTTATTAAATTAAAATTATACTTATAATCAAAATTAAATTAACTCTAATATCGCTTCTTTAATGAAAAAATATGATTGTAATTTTTTATCGTTAAAATCTTTGTTTTAACAAAGTGTTTTTTTCAAAACACTTTTTATACCAACAAAATTTAATTTTAGTTTTTTAGTGTTGTTTGATTAGATATAAAAATTTCTGGTAAAATACTTTCTTTCCATATTCTTAATTTTTTAATTATTTGTTTCTCAATTCCTTGAAATATTCATTTTCCTTCTTAACCCTTCGTCGGGCGCAACTGATTTGTGTGGCACAGTTAGCACATTTATTTACTTCTCCTCCTCTGCTCCTGACGAAGGGTTAAGAGGAAAGATTGCTACATACATACTATGTCTGTATGTAGATACGTATTCAAATTAAGTTATGTTTTAATTTTTATTTCTTCTCAAAAAATATTTATCTTTTTACAAAAAAAATATTTTTTTTAATAGTAATTATAATTTTTTTAATTCTTTCTATCGAATTATAATCTAATTTTTCGCTAGAAACTTAGGTATGGTTATCATTTGGATAAAAATAATTTTTTCCTAAAAAGTATTTTTCCCGAAATCCCGGATTTTTTTTTTGTTTTTAATTGGGGACATATTTTTTTATTTGTAGGTATTTTTGTTTTTAAATATTTAAAAAAAAATTTACGATAAATTTATAAACAAATAAAAACCAAATCATTAAAATTCATACAATATCTTCATTAGCGGAGAACTTATTGGGAAACATGTTTCCTTTGGACCTGACAGGGTTAGATCTAATTAAAAAGTTTATTGCATCATCTGCAAAATACCGTTATGAAATTTGCACATAAAATACAAATTTTAATGGCTACAGAAATTTTTTAATACATACATGTGTGAAAAATAAGAATGGGATAAATTCGTTCCACTATAAAACTCTATTGGAACATATATGTACATTAGACTGCATCACTCCTCATACAGAAAAAAAACGGTACTCTTTTTCCATTGGAATTATAAAATCTATTATATTTTAAGACGTCCACAAAAATATTTTGGAAAAATTTTAAAATTCACGTGAGCTGGACCGATTTGAAAATACCTCCGAAAATAGAGTGTTTTATGAATAAAAATAGTTTCTTAAAGATGTGTTTTTAGAAAATCCCCTCAAATGACAAAACGCTTAAAAAATTTGCATAAAAAAAAAAAAAAAAAAATAAAAAAAAGTTTTAACGGAATCGTAATAATGAGATTTTTGATGCTGTTTTTTTTTTTAACTTTTTTCAAAGATTGGTAAGAAAAACTTGAATAACTGAACCTAAACGTTCCCGATTTAGACTTGTGAGATATCATTGGAAAGGTATTTTCTCATCCTTTTTATTTCTTTGCTCATTCAAAGGATGAAAGAGAAAGGTGGGATGGACGAACATTATTCAAAGTTGAATTAAGATGTGTTGGTACTTGAAAAAATTGGGACACGAATGACTTTTTTTGCATATAAATAAAAATAGGAGAAAATACCTTTCTACCGAGATCCCACAAGTCTATATCAGAAAAGTTTTGGCCCAGTTATTTAAGTTTTTCGTAAATCAATCTTTGAAAAAAGTAAACAAATAGCATCAAAAATCTCATTTTTCTGTTGAAAAGCTTTTTTAAATATATTTATGAAATTTTTTAAGCCTAATCTGTTTTGTCATCCGAGCGACTGTTAACAAAAAGTTTTTTAAGAAACTATTTTTATTCATAAAAAAAAACGCCATTTTTGGAGGTATTTTCAAATCGGCCCAGCTCGCTTAAATCTTAATATTTTTCCGAAATATTTTGGTGGACATCTTAAAATATAATAAATTTTGTAATCCCGGCGGAAAAATCGCAAATTTTTTTTTGGTGGTGCAGTATAATGTTCATATGTATGTATTAGATGGCTGCATGAATTCATTCAAACTTCTTTTATTTCAATTCAATTTATTTTCACTTTGTCTGAATATTGTTATGTCGACACATACATACTATATCAGAACAGGTATTCACTCAAATTCAAAAAAAGATTGAAGCCAAAATCATTCATTCGTTTTGTATATGAATAATTCATAAGCCATTTTGAATGAATTCATGCAGCCCTCTAGTATGTATGTATGTCCCAGCTCAAAGCATCAATTACGATCATTACAAATGAGAGATACAATGTTTTTTTTTTGATTTTCTCATTTCATCGGTTTTATTTCAACTTCAAATGTGCAAACATTGTTTTTGCACTTTCATCCACCAAAAGTCTGATCGAAAGGGTTTAGCAATATTTCCGTGTTGCTAACAGCAGCAAGTACCCAAAGTCGATAAATTTGCATATGTATATGGAAATGATTTCAAAAATAAATAAACATAACAACAACTTTATCTCAGCAACGACCAGATAACAAGAAAATTATGCAGTTCTCAAATGTGTGCCATACCTATACTGTGTTCAATGCAAAATGAAAAAAAAATGTAATGAAATGCGTTAAGGAGCATCAGAAAAACTTACATTTAGACTTCAAAAAATGTTATGGTAATGTAATTAGTAAAAATAAAAATAAAAAAAATTGGTGCTATACTTCAGACAAAGAAAATATGTACATATAACGGCCGCAGGTGTAAGTGCACAGGTGCGAATGAAAAAGGAATAAATGTACAAATGAGTGGTGTATTGAGGTATAAAAAGCACGCGACGTGGATTTTCTGAAGTTCAGAACGACTTTGGACGTTCGCTGCAAAGCATTAGAACGACTCAATTTATAGAACATCCAGTCATTTTTTTATCGGAACAATATGAGGGGCTTCTTTGTGCTTGGTTTGTAGTGAAAAATCAAAGTGAAGACATTTTAATTCAGAAACTTGTCTTTTAAAATTTTCCACATTACAAATTTGGTCCGAAAATGGGAATGCAACATTTTATTAAAATTTGTTTCTAAATGTTGTGGAAATAAAAATTTTTGATTTAAAGATATTTTTTGTAATTCTATGAAACACATTTTTTTTTAATTTCTCCATACAATTTTTATAATTCCTTCCATTCCAGTACTCACTGCTAGTGCTTGCACGTATTCGGCGTTCGCGCACCCCGATCATGTGTTCCACTACGGGCAACACGCCCATCAACATGCACAAGAGGTTCAGCAACATGTTGAACAACTTATGTTACAGGGTCAGCAACATGTTTCGCATCATCAGCACGAACAGCAGGTGGTTTCAAGTCCACTACAAGTTCATGAACATAACTCGCATGGGCCGCCACATGTTCATCAAGCGCAGCCACCACATCTACACCATGGCCAGCAACATGCTCATCAAGGTCAGCAGCATGGTCATCAACATGCTCAACATGTTCCACATCATGTCCACACACAACACTTGTCACACCAACACGTGCCAAACGTGCCAAAAATCACCATCACCAGTGTTGTGCAGCATTTGCCCATACCGCATAAGGGCTTTGAGGTGCCCAGCCGTGTACAGCATATCGTCGATAGTGCCCATCAACACATTCCACAGGTTCTGAATCATCATTTGTCTCAACAAAAGCAAGTTGAATCAGCAGTTGATGATGATAAAGTACCTTCGCAACCAATAGTGGTGCCGCCTGCGCATGTACAAAATATTGTAGAACATGTTCATTCACACATTCCACAAGTGATCAATCATCATATACAGCAGCAAAAACAAAAGGAGGCTGCTCAAAAATCGGCTATTGATCCACATGTACCACAGCTTTTACTTGCACAACAACAAGTTTCACAAGCTGACAATGTACAGGGAATGCAGGGTGTTGCAATTTCCGACAGTAAGCCTTCGGAAGTGCCACCACAAGTGCAGCAAATTGTTCAGCATATAAATCAGCACATTCCACAATTGATTCAGTATTTAAGCCAACAAGCTCAACAGTTACAGCAGATTGTTGATAAACTTCAACAACAACAGCAATCACAGCAAAAAGTGCAACCGGCGATTCCAGCTAAAGTGCAACATATTGTCGATAATGTGCATCAACACATTCCACAAGTGATCAGTCAAGCACAACAGCACCAAAATGTTGCTCATCAGCAGCAAAGTGGTGCCGCTGTAGGCCAATCGCAACCAGTCATACCCGATGAAGTGCAACAAGTCGTCAATCACGTACATCAACACATTCCACAAGTGATCAATCATGTTCAACATCAAAAGCGACATGTCGCGCAAGATGAGCAAAAACAACAAAATCCGATTCAGGGAGTACCACATGAGGTTAACGGTGTAGTAATACCCTCGCAAGTTCAAAAAATTGTGGATCATGTCCATCAACACATTCCACAAGTGGTTAACGAGGCAAAAAAGCAGCAACAAAAACAAGGCGCTGACAAACAATCACAGCAGGCCATCGATTCGAAACAAAGTCAACCGCAAGTTCCCAATAAGGTCGAACAAATTGTCAATCACGCGCATCAACACATTCCACAAGTGGTCAGTCATGCGCAGCAACACAAACAACAAGCTCATCAGCAACATCAAGGTATTCCCGATCAGATTCAAGGTATTGTGATACCCTCGAACGTTCGAAAAATTGTCGATCATGTCCATCAACACATACCGCAAGTCATCAAACAGGTTCAGAAACAAAAGCAGCTAAAACAAGGCGTTTCCAAACAACTACAGGAAAATGTCAGTTCGAACCAGGAGCAGCCGGCGATACCATCTAAGGTGCAGCATGTTGTCAATCACGTGCATCAACACATTCCACAAGTGATCAGTCATGCGCAGCAACACAAGCAACAAGTACAGCAGCAACAAAGTGGTGTCGCTGTAGGCCAAACGCATCCAGTCATACCCGATAAAGTACAACAGGTCGTCAATCACGTGCAACAACACGTCCCACAAGTGATCAGTCATGTTCAACAACATCAAAAACGAGAAGTACCAAAGCAGCAGCAGGGCGTACCTCATCAGGTTCAAGGTGTTGTAATTCCTTCGAAAGTTCGAAAAATTGTCGACCATGTTCATCAACACATACCACAAGTCATCAATGAGGCTGTGAAACAAAAGCAGCAACAACGAAGTGTTTCCAAACAACCGCAAGAGGCCGTCGATTCGAAACAAAAACAGCCAGCTATTCCCACTAAGTTCGAACATACTATCAACCATGTGCACCACCACGTTCCACAAGTCATTAACCACGCTCATCAACACAAATCAGTAGTAGAGCAACAACATCAGGGAATTCCCGATCAAATTCAAGGTGCTTTAATACATTCGCAAGTTCGAAAAATTGTCGATCATGTTGACGGCCGTATCAAGGATTATTTTTCGGGGGGAGTTGTTGGTTATAATAAACAAAACTTCCAAGTGCAATTCAATCTTGAATAGGAAACAGAATTTATGCAGGAACATATACTTATGTACATATGTATGAAAATAAATAAAAGTATTCACATAAACGTAACAACAATAAAATAAAAGTAAAGTGATAATTATTGTTAAAAAGTGACGGGTGGGACATTTTAACTCATTTTTGCTCAAACTTTTAGTAAATTCTCTTTAACTATTTTCATTTGACAAGCGTCAAACTGTTAACACTTGAAGTGAGATATATAATTTGCACAGAAATTTTTCAATTTTGTACAAATTATAAATATTTCGTTCATAGCGGCTTTCTTGAATGTAGTCAGAAGAATGTTAAGTACCATTTTAAGCTTTAATGGCATTATTATATTTTACAAATTAAAAATAAAACCAACTTTAGCTTGTAACGGGTGCGACAGCACTTTTTGATGGTTGAGACGAGTCACTCTTAAGAACAGATAGTTTGTGAGTAAAATGAACGCTACTAGCTTGATGTGAATATTTATTATATTCTTAATAAGGGCCTCATTTGAACAATGGGAAGCTTAAGAATTTGTATGCTACGTTAAAAAAATACATACTTTGCTGTGACGGGTGGGATATCCAATATGATTTTTTTTTAAGCTTATAACTTCTCACCATAAATATATTATTCCGAAACCTTGCCTCAATTTTAAAGTTCATGAAATGTTCTTTCTATTTGGATAATTATTTTTTGCATTGTCACCTTTAGTACCTTTAGTAGAATGCCTTGAAAATTTGATGCAAAAATATTACGGTATATTATTAGTACATAGTGAAAATAGTGAAAACCATTTCTAAAGAATTATTCTACCTGATTTACTGTTTTTACTTGAGGTGTCGTCTTCGCTGGAATGGCCCACTACTACTTCCAATGAAAAAAAAACCGTTTTGACGAGCCTATCCAAAGATGCAAAAACGTTTCGAAACGCGGAACGACGGCCGGACGGGATGACGACCGTGACGAAGGAAAGTTTCATGAGTTCTTCTATAACGGCATATAAGCCTCACAGCCACACCTACGTACGAACACCTCTCCGCCATTCAAGGTACATTATGTGTTCATTTGCACCTCGAACTGTACGTGGGTTCGTTATGCCTTAATTGATTGAGATACTCGCGATAAAAACCATGGGCCAAGAAAAACTGGGTTAAGTTAAAACTAGAATCTCCATGAGATCTATCCAGCCATTTTTCAACGTGGGGGTTGAGCTTGTGTGCCCATCTGCCTTTCTTCTAAGTCGTCCCATCGTCCCTGCCAGATTTCCATAGCATAGCTCTTTGCTTCTGTAGCTATTTTATTTCGCGTTAGACCAGCGTTGGTGTTGTCTGAGAGAGGCAATTATATATTCTCCTCTTCTCTTGGGCCAGAATGTCTGCTGGGGTCAGTCCGGCGATTACAAAGGACGCTTGATCAGAAATTATGCAGGTTTCACAAACAGATCTTTGGGAAATCAAAATGGGGCTTAGTATCAATGCAGAAAAGAAATATCTTGTACTCTCAGGAAATACAAGGTTCCCAACTTGTCTAAGTCTAAGTTGAATAGAGTGACCCCCCAGTGAAACAAATCACCAAGTACCTCGGAATAATACTCGATGGCAAACTGTCAATGCGGAGATGAGGCCGAAAGGGACATTACCTGCGGGCTTCGAACGCCTTTAAGCTGGCCCTGACCAATGATAAGATCTGTAGAAGATGCAGAACGAAATAGGAGACAGGGAAGCATATCCTCTGCGAGTGTCCTGCCCTTAGCAGACAGGGGGTTAATCTGGTTTAGTCTGCTGGGAGCAGGTTTTCTACCTAATCTGGAAGACGCCGCAAAAGTAGGGAATAACAAGAGGTTATAGCTTGCCAAAAGGACTGCGATGTTCTTCAACATCTGTCCAAAGTGGTTTTGGTTTTTCTGGTAACGCTATGGACCTTAATAGTATCTGCAAAGCCACGCATTATCTGGCCAGCAAACCTAACCTAACCTAAGGCATCTAGGAAACCTTACATTTCTTTATTATAAACTAATAAATAATTAAATAAATTTCCATACTTGCGTTCTTTAATTTTCTATAAGTGCTTTGACTGCCCGTAAAATTTTCCGCTCACATGTATATAAAGGCAGTGGTAACGTCGATTACGATATTTAACGAGATGATAAAATTTATCTGGTAGCCAAGAAAACGCCGCTAAGTTAATTAAGCTTAACCCACCCTTTGCACCCTTATTTCACCAGTTTTTATATGTACACTTCATACTCCAACTTTTTGGACAATTGATTTCCATAAGCACCAAAAAGTTTTCGAAATGGTGGCTCGTCAACTTTATTGATATATCTCCAACGCATGTCGATATCATTTTCTTCCACCTCTTTGTGAACTAGCCGAAATATTCACAGAAATCACTTTTATATACTTTATAGTTATGTATACAAAAGCTATTACTTCCTCTGCCCTTACCTGAAAATCTTAAACTTAAGTTAAGTTTTATGGCTTTTAAGAATTGTTTATACCTGATACCTGGCGGTTGATTTCGAAGAAATTCTTCTCCACTCTTACCACTGCACCAAAACTACGCTCCCCTATCTCCCGTGTCTGACTTCCAAATATTTTTTGCTTTACGCATTTTCGCATTCCTTTAGATTTGCGGTAATGCGACAGTTGCGTCTGCTAATTGACATTTTTGTGGAATTTTTACAATCTTTATATAATTTTATTTATTTATTTTTTTTGACACGCGCGATAAGTTACATCCACACGAATGTAAGTATGCAACCGGTTTGGTATAATTACAGTCTTTGTCCAACATTTGATTTCAAATGCGAAAATGTTGGCTGGTAATTTTTTTTTTTTTTGATTTTGAGTAATTTACACTCTTTTAAGTTAATCATATGGCACTTTATTTTTGACTAAGATTTTACGATTTTTAAACTGCGCCACAATAATTAGTCACAAGCAATAAAAAGTCTTATAAATGCTGCTAAGCATGCCATTGTGAGGTAAACGGGGGTGTTAAGAGACAACCTAAATTTCAAAAGGAGAAAGATCATTAAATGAAATATGCAATTTTTTAGATACATATGTATTTAGATGGAAACAAATATCGTTAAGATACTTTCTAAACACCGGTTAAGATTTCTCTGCTCCTTAATAGAACGTTTTGAAAAGCTAGAGTACCGCTAGGAGGCGAAATGTATGTATATGTCTATCTCTCGTGTAAGTTTTTTCTTCAAGAAAAACTGGCAATCTCCCAAACCACGCTGTTCATTATGCTCTTGGGTATGAACTAGCTGACGCCATATGGAGCTGTAGTGCCTAAGGGTTGAGTGGGTACTAGGGTGGTGCGAAATAAGTAAAGCCGGATTTTTACTGCCCTCACCCTCTGGATTGTTCTATAACAAAAAAATTATATCCTATGTTTTTTTTGTATTTTGAAATCAAAATATATTTAGAGGTCGCCAAAGCACTCAAAGTTTTTCATGTATTTTATACGGGGAAAACAATTTTTCGTAGAAATGGTATAGAATTCTTGAAAATAAATATTTTTCGGTCGGAAGACTTGGTTTATCTTCTGGAGACTGTTAATAATTATACTCAATTGTTTATTTAACCATTTTTCAATACTAGACATTTTTTCAAGTTCCCTAAAAACCAAAAAAAATTCAATGGGGACTCAAACAAATTAACTCTTCCCCCACTTCGCTTAGCAGAGCAGTTTAGAAGGAATTGCTAAGACGATACCACATCAAAATCCTCCATACAGGACTTCTATTAGAACTCAGAGTTGGTGCTAAGCTGGCTGGAGGATCCCCCCTCATCGTCCGCGACAAAACTACCTCGCTTAGCCGATTTTAAAATCCATCTCGATTAGAAGAGTTGACATGACCTGTGACCTGCATATCCAATGATTGTAAGCGACCGCTGACCGCTGATTGCCGCTTGCCTGTCAGATTAGATATCTACCTTTCTAATCGGTACTTCACTGGTACGTAGCCAGAGTACTGCCTCCTTTATGTCGGCCACCATCGCTTGAAATACGCTGCACCATCTTAAGGTTAACGGAGAGTTCCTGGGAGAACACTTTTCCTCCAACTTCGACCTCGTTTGCAGAGGCTACCACTTGAGGTCGTCCCACACTAATCTGGTTTAGATCATTGGATCATAAAATATATATCTATATGTATATACACACATTTTTTTGAAGTCGGGTTTTTTTGCTAAAAAGTACTTGTTGTTGTTAATGCTTAGTGAGTGCTTTGAAATTCCCTGCTTTGACATTTGCAGTGCCATAATTTCTGCAAAGACCGGCGCCCTATCCAAGACTAGACTTATTATCGAAGGCCTTCCCACGCGCTGCTTATTCGGTGAAAACATCACAGCGGTACTCTTACTAGGCAAAGAGTAAATACTTATATCTCTAATTGTATCCTTTGCCGGGTTGGTAGATGTATTTTAGTGCACATTTTACATTTGCACACACTGCCTTGGCACCAATTGCATTCCCTCTATCGCCGCCTCCACGGCACGACCTCTGTTGTACACTCACACATATTTATATATGTACATACCTACAAAGTGCTAAAATACACTTTTTCGCACTTATATTGCTAGCAAAATTTTTCATCGCTTGCCACTTAATGATTAGCGCATTTTCTAATTTATTTACATGTTTTGGGCGTTTAACAGTTTGCATTTTTCAATACGCCTCCTTCTAAATCAATGGCAATAGCGAATTTTTCTTCAAGATAAATGAGTCACAGTGGCAGAGTGAAAAATGCGTATGCGTGTAGCACAAATGATAGTGCAACACGCATGTTGCTTGCAACAGTCTCACCACTACATCCGAATAGGATTCTTGCGGCTTCAGCTACTAACTGCAATTAGATTAGGCGCGTAATCTCACTTTGGCAATTTTTACACCTTGAGGTTGCAAATGGAGATGCCTGATCTGCAGTTAATCTTTACAGGTTCTTCTTTGGTGTGATTACACATGTTCCCTTGTTTGTGGTTGTTATTGTATTGGTATCTAAGGTGTGTAAAATCTAACTGTATACTGTGGAGTTTATTAGCAACATTTTTCATTTGAT